GACTGTTACTACACCGGAAAGAGAGGTAGTTATTGGTTTTCTTGGGTCGTCATACAGACATTTCATCCGACTAGACATGTCAACCTATTTTCCTGTGCCACCGATTATACCTCGTTGGTACGACATTCGCACACCGAGCGTAGAGGGTTGGGATGCGCTATACCATGACCGGATCCACGAATGGAACACCCTAGCTGCCTTTTAGTTTTTCATGTGTACATTGTTTCTATGTAACCTTATTTTTACGTTGCTGTTTTAATGACAACATTAATTTAAAAACAGCAAACGATGTTGTCGCATTTTGAAATCTAAAACAATAAGCTGAAATGTTACAAACTTAAACCACAATGTTAAATTCATCGACATGCAAACGTAAATGAAAAATATCAAAAACTAAAATAAAAATGTTTAAAATGATCTACAAATAACATGCCGTGACAATCAGTAATCTCTCGTGGACGCCGACTCCCAGTGCGCAAGTGTCTGTTCCAAACTATCAACAGCAGCTCTCGCTGGTCCGCTCATGCTGTCCTTCTCCAAAGACAGTTTCAGTACGTCTTGCTGTATCTTGCCCATCCACTACATACAACAGAAAATACGACATGAAATACAACAACAACGTATAAAACTTAAATAAAAAAAACAACGACAAATGTTTTAAGAGACATACCGCTTCCACGGCAGTTCGCGGTGGCATGTAATCAGCATCACTGTGGTCGAGGTCTGCAATCAACCTCGGGTGCGAATACCGGTTGAACCATTCCATGTAGTAGTGGTCAGACATGGGAGGAACCCCAGATGGCGGCCTCTGCAACTCCGCAGTCCACAACCGGGCAACCATCGGAAACTGGTCCCACGTCGCAGTCATGATGTCCGGCCACTGCACGAAGTAGTCCTTCGACGATGCTGATTGGACCGCCTTCATCGGCCATGCCGGGGGAGGAGGGACGACTTGGACAAATCCAAGCTGGCGAAGACAACGCTGGGGCCTCTCCTGGTCCTCCCAAATACGGGCAGCTATGTGTCCTAGAAAGCTAGGAATCACACTCCCGTCAACAGGCCCACCGGGCACCTCACTCCTAACAACCCAAGAATCATTAACGGCCCTCGACCGTTTCCTGCTTGCCCCAGATACAGTGGACGCAGATGATGTGCCAGATCTGCTAACAAACCTACCATCCCTACCCTTACGCACCTCCACCATATGTGCCTCGTACATGTCATCAACCCTCTGACTGAATGGACCGTAATCATCATACGGTCCACTCCCATCGTCCACATCCTCATCCTCATATGCGCCCTCCTCCTGCTCCTCCTCCTGGTCACCCTCCTCAGCATCATCATCGTCATCGTCGTCCTCATCCCGACGGTGGATTCGTTCTCTACGAGCCGAGGCCGAAATAAAACGGGATCTAACATGTCTATCCCCCGACCTCTCCACTGAATAGCTTCTACTAAGAATGGCTAGATTCTTCCCCGCACCTTGACGACCCAGTGAATTCTACAAAAAATTATAAAATATATAAACATACAAAAGTTTTTTAAAAAAATAAATAACTACCTACAAATACAAAATACCAACACTTCCAACATATCGTCATTTTTATAAACATAAAATTAATAAAGATTATAAAAAATCAAACACATAATAAATAAATAGGAAATGTTACAAAAATTTCAAATTATTTCAACTAATTAAACATAGAAAAATATTATACGGCATACACAAATACACACATAATACCCTAATATATTACAAAATTTAGGATTTCAAAAAAGAATAAAAATTATTTCAAATAATTAAACATAAATACACACAAAAAATAAATAAAAAAAACAATTACACATTAACACAAACAATTTCCACATACTACATCAATTAAGGGATAAAAAATGTTTAGTCATCAAACACAAAACCAAAAAAACATACACACAAAAAAAAAACTGATTTTATAAAAATAAAATATACACGACTTATTAAAAAAAACACATAAAGTTGATAAATATTTAAAAAAAAATAAAACACAATAATGAAAAAAAAATAAGAAATAACACAAAATTATTTTAAATAAAAATAAATTTCTGATTTTGCGAAATAAAAAAAAAAAACCAAAACAAAAAAATAAAAAAAAAATCAGAAAAAACAAAAACAAAATAAAAAAAAATTAAAACCAAAATACACAAAAACAAAATAACAAAAAAAAAAAAATTAAAAGGAGGTGGGGCGTCTGGTCTGGCCGCCACAGCCACTGGCGTGGCGTCTGGCTTGGAAGCCCAGCCACCAGGCCAGGCGTCCAAACCAAAAGCCACGCCAATGGCCCACGCGCCAGATCTGGCCGCCACAGCCAATGGCGTGGCTTCTGGTTTGGACGCCTGGCTTGATGGCTGGGCTTCCAAGCCAGACGCCACGCCAATGGCTCTGGCGGCCAGACCAGACGCCCCACCACCAGACACCGTTTTCTTATTTTTTTTTTTTTTTAAAAAAAAAAAATTAAATAATTACCTTGCCACCAGGTCGCCGCCTTTCCTCCGCCGTCGCCGTCGCCACCTCCTTCCCTTGCCGCCTAGACATTGTCGTATTTAGGAGTGGTAGATTTTCTTTTTTTTAGAGAGAAGTAGAGAGTGTTTTTTTTTTTAAAAATGATAAGGGCAATAATGTCTCACCAAGTCATATTTGTGGGCTTTATATAGTAATTTGCGGGCGATGTTTAACAAATCCCATTTTATATCACAATGGTTCAGCTAATTGTCATTAGTTTTTTCAACTATTTTTTTTTTTTTAAAATAATCAAGATTTTATTAGAGACAATTTATTTCTAAGCTAATTTGAGCAACTCCAATGCCAAGCTAATTGCCAAATTAACTTTGTTTTTTTTTTTTTTTTACATATAGGATTCCAAAGCTATTCTCCCTTCTAACTCTAGCTAATTTATACCATAATGGTTAAGCTAATTGGCAATAAAATTTTCAGCTTTATTTTAAATAATTAATATTTTATTAGAGGTAATTAATTTATAAGCTAATTAGATTAGAGCAACTCTAGTGGTTGTAGCTAGAGACTTGTTTGCAATATTAAATAATCCCTAGCTACTAGCTTTAATTTGCCAAGTAGGATGTTGAGATTGATTATTATCTCTGCCCCTGTGGTTCTCTAACTTTAAAAAAAAAAAAACCTTATACCACGCCTAAGGCCTAAGAATCACCTCTACATCTATATTTTGCCGAAAATGACCTTTAAAAACAACTAAACAAATGTAGTATTTCAACCCCAATTGAACATAGCTCGTCTTGGGTGCGGCTAGCCGCATTGTATGATCATTTGTAAAAAAAAAAAAAAAAAAAAAAAAAAAAAAAAAGTAACCCCTACAAAACTGACTGGATAACCCCTATAACACGAATGAAGTATAAGAATATATGATTTTATTAAATATATCAACCGCTCTTTTTGTCAAGACTTTTTGCGCAAAACTAATTTTCTCGACCAAACTAATTTCACTTTTTTTAGCTTAATTGGTCAAGCTAGTAGCTAAGAGATTTCTAAATTACAAGTAAATATCTACCTATAGGCTTACAACTACTAAAGATGTTTCAAAAGAAAGTGTTACTACCCATAGGGACAACATGCTAACTTCATGTGTCACCCTTCATTCATTATGAGTAATGAGTTGGTGCCACATGTGCGCCATGTGTCATCACCCTTCTCTATGAAAAACTCTCACACCATTGAATTGTAATGATGTTTAATTTAATTAAAAAACTCTTTATCGATGTGACTTTAATTCTATATACGAAGTAATAGTAATATTTAATCTAATTGAAAAACTCTTCATGTATTATCCTCCCTATTAAATTTGATATATTCTTATATACATCATAAATAATCAATCAATCAATAACTATATACTAAAAGACACACCAGCAATGACACATGTCATCACCTGGTGTGTTTTTTTTTTTTTTTTTTTGTAATAAAAAAATTATTAAAGAAACAAAATTTATACAAAAAAAAATTTCCTAATGTCATACAATATTATTACTAAAAATAAAAATATTTGACATATCTTCAACACAAATTTTTATGAAGCTATTAAAAAAGCATTCTTATTAACATAATTTTGATTATATATACATCATTTTATACCGAACATATCTTTTGTAATTTAGTACTTTGATCAAAATTTATCAAATATATTCTTAGATTTTATTGTTTATAAAAAATTTAAAACCAATTATAATGATGGTTTAATAATGGTTATTGACATTATAGTGCATGGCACGTGAACTAACCTAGTTAATGAAAAATAATACTCCCTCCGTTCCTAAATTACATTCCTGTTTGGAAATATATACGAGAATTAAGGAGGAGAGAATAGGACAAATAACAATAATTAGATAATGCAATGGGAAGTACAATACAATAAATAATGTTTTTGAGTAAAACAAAGATAGATTAGTGATTACTCATGACATGTCATCAATCCTTTGCAAAAAAAAAAGGATCAATTACATGCTCCTAATTGAACATTTTTAACCAATCATATTCATTGTAATTTGGCACAAGGATTCTGGCTGAAAAAGTACATTACTCAACCAAACATTAAAAGTGGAATGTAAATATATTAATTATACATTAAAAGTACAACTGAAAAGGGGGTGTATTTGGGATATTTAGGAAAAAAAAAACTTACTAAAAATAGAAAGGTGGAATGCAATTTTAGAATACCCAAAATAGAAAGGATGAATATAATTTAGGAAGGGAGGGAGTACATATTATTATATTTTACATTCACTTATTAATATTGTTCAACATTATTACCTTTCGACTTTCGTAATTAATTTTGATTCACTTATTAATATTGTTCAACATTATTACCTTTCGACTTTCGTAATTAATTTTGAACAAACTTAAAGATTTACGGAGTATGATGTAGCGGGACATCACCCGTGCCAATAAACTAGTTTTCCTTTAATACCCAACCACACAATTCCATTACACGAAAATACAAAATCAAACACTTCTTAGAAAAGTGATTTTATTTATTGCCTACACCACCACGTATGTACTATTCTCGAGGAATCCTATTCAAAAACCATTTCATCAACCGGGAAAATCTCTTTTCAGTTCTACACTCTTTTCTCGCCGGAAAATCCGCAACTCCGCTTATCACCGCCAGAACGCCGCCGTCACGCCACCGTCTCTGCCCATTTTCCTCTTCTTCTCCTTCGGTTTGTTCTTCTTCTCTAAACTTCATCATTTCCGCAATTTCGCTTTATCAATTACTAATTTATCATATCATATGATTATTAATGCGTAAATCTTATGGATTTTAGAGTTGTCTGAAATTATGAAATGGGATATCGTATATGTGTGTGATTGTGCATTATGGTTATTGATTGTGATTTACATGTTGATGATTATGGTTTTTGGTTTTGGATGTTGGTATTGATTTTGAATGTTATTTTTCTGTTTTTAATATCTATATAATCAAAATTATTGGTTGAATTTGCATGTAAATGTGTAATCCCTGGTTATTATAATGTTCCGATGAGAGATTGAGAGTGAGTGAACCTCGGGTTTGGGTACGTGTACAAGTGTCTGATGCAGTTATTTTGTGAAATTATCTCATGATTTTGGTTTAAATTAAAATGGAGGGTTGAAGTGTCCTGTATTCATACGAGTCGTACCCATGTTTGAGTGTCGAGGATCCGAGATGAGTACCTAAGGTTATAGGATGAGTTTGTGTAACATAGGGTGAACTAGGTAGGTGATTGAGCTGGATGAGTTGTTTTGGGTTGAATTTGAACATGTTTGGAGTTAGGTTTGGTTTTCGTTAGGTGAGTTAGAGTGTTAGACTAGTCCTTGATCATTGGGAATTGTCCCTTCGGTGTATTTGGCTTGTTAACCGATGGGAATTGATTTAGTTTACGAGAGTGGGATGTAGTTTTATGATTTTGGCTTATATTGGATTGAGGGTTGAGGTTTTCAGTAGGTGGTAAGTGACAATTTGATCATGTTAATTGGATTTTGCTATGGGTTGAATATCCGAAAAGGGATGGACTTCATGATGTTATGAGGGTCTTACATGATGAATAAGTGTTAATAACCAAGATCATGGCGCTGTTGTTAGATGAATCAAGTTCTAATGGTAAAAGAGGGGTGAGGTTGTATCTCAATGGAGGATTGTTAGTCAGCTATTTATGGAGCAAAGTGTCTTAGCTCCTGTGAGTGTCTTTCCTAATGCTATTGGTTTGTTTAAATAATGCATAAAAGCATAAATTCTGGATCAATAAAGTCATATTCACATACGATGAGTGTTGATTACTTACCAAAGCTGGCATTAATGTTTTTGTGCTAAGTTTGTGTGCTTCAATTATTAAATTTATGGTGGGCTTGTGGTAAATATTTTGATGAAAACTCAACTGGGATACATTGTTCTTGAGGATTTCACTGGAGATGTTCTATGTTTATTAATTTCTTGCTTATATGTATAAGAGTTGTACATTTGGCTTATTGGACTCATTGGCTGATTTATGTACCCCTGTATTATATAATTCCCAATTTGGGGTTCTGTGTGTTGAATTATTTACACAAATTTTCCAATTTCCTTTTTGTGGTTGATTATTTCGACAAGGCAAGGAATGTTAGAGATGGTGTGATGCATTGGGTATAGAGAAAGGGCTAATGTTGATAGTGCGTAATAAGTTTGTTAGGATTTGTTTGGAATGGAATCAAGTGAGTTTGTTAGAGAGAAAGGAAGGGGAACTGCTATGTATATAGAAGAGATCAAAGGGAGAGGTGGAATGAGGAGTATAATAGAGTAAATTCAACTCAAATATGCTTATGATGAGAGTGTGCAATTGCTCAAACAACTCCCATTTGATGATTTAATAGCACCAAATTACAATCTACTACATTTATTTAGAGATATCAAGAGAATATCTCTTGATATCAATACAGATATCAAGAGAATATCTCTTGATATCAATATTATTATCTAATCCTTTTATCTTTTTGTAATCAATTATTATTTTATTTGATTCTTGTGAATCATAGAGATTGTATTAGGATTATTCTCTTGTAACACTTACATAGTTGTATCCTTTTAATTCATCTATATAATCATTCTTTTTCTCTCTAAGCTTTCTCATAACTCTCACAATTTTCTCCCAAAATTTACTTCTTTGTCATTTTTGTATATTGAATTTTCAATTCTTTAACAGATGGCTGCTGAAATTGTAAATGGGCCAACCCATTTTGAATTGAATACTGGCACTAAGATTCCATCAGTTGGTCTTGGTACCTGGAAAGCTTCTCCTGGTGAAGTTGGCCAAGCTGTTATTCAAGCTATTAAGGTCTGTTGGTTTTCACTCTCTTTTGTGCTGATTAAATGCATCTTTTACTTTCAATTGTTCAATTTTATTTTTCCAGAATACGCCAGTAAGTAATACTTCATAATTCATAGTTTTCTTCTAATGTTCCATTTTCACCATATCTATGGTACTCCTTTTTGCAGGCTGGTTATAGGCATATTGACTGTGCTGCTGTTTATGGTAATGAGCAAGAGGTAAGTATCCCATAAGAGGGGATGCTTCTCTATTTAATTTATCTTATTCGTTTCAGCAACACTGAACTTATATATACTTCTGGCAATCCATAGTTCCTGAAATAGATGTGCAATTTGTAATTTAGGATGTTATACTTTTATTTCTGCAGTATTCGCATTTTCTGGGGGGGGGGGCAACGATTGGCATGCATTTGTTTTGAATAATTGCCAATTATTACTGGTTAGACAAATTTGATTGAAATTGTTTTTATAGGTAGGCAAGGCCCTTAAAGAGTTATTTGACAGTGGAGTAGTGAAACGTGAAGAACTCTGGATCACATCAAAGCTCTGGTAAGTTTGTAAGTGTTTTGAATGCGAAGAAAAAGATTTTTTTTCTCAAGCAATTGTTATACTGTAATTGCCCTATTCTTAAGGAAATTCTTCAGTGTTTCTTTTGCAGTTTTGCCTATTATAAACTAATCTGATGTGATGTGGATTTCTTATGAATCTCAAGATTATCAGTGTTACTGTTCTTGTTGCTGTTGTACACTTCTACAGTTGTACTCCTATTAATATTGCTACTGTTGTTATGACCTTACTTGAACAGGATCTGTTCTATAGGATCGTACCTCTGTATCCTTGAGTTCTAAAAAAAAAATATTGCCACTGTTGTTGCCTTTTCTGTAATGATTTATTTATTTATTTATAGTTTCTGAAATTGGTTGATCTGATCAGTAATCTCTTGTTGATTTAAATAAAGATGAATTCATTAATCAAACATGATTATACTGTATGCAACATGAAATTTCAATTACTGTTTCAGCTTTCTCATGCAAGAGTATGGCTGTTGTGAAATTCTGCAGGTGCAGTGACCATGCTCCTGAAGATGTCTCCAAGGCCTTGAGCAAGACTCTCAAGGACCTGCAGCTCGACTACATTGATTTGTATCTTGTATGCCTCACTACTCAAAATTCTGATTGAGAAATATAATATACTAAAAGACAAGTCATTTTACCACCTACTAAATCCTTACTGTTATGTGTGTAATTTAGTAGGACTGTAAGGGCTTCATTTTCTAATCGAGTTCATTAGAATTCATTTTGTTATTGGTTTATATCCAATTTGCTCTTCTTGCTACTCTTGCAAGTATGGCAATTTGAATTAGTGCTACTGTACAATGCAGATTCACTGGCCAATTCGCACTAAACCAGGCTTGGAGGGACTTAGTGCTCCTGTTTTGGTTCCTCTGTGCCTTCCTGAAACATGGGCTGCAATGGAGGGTTTATATGCTTCAGGTCAGGCACGTGCCATTGGAGTGAGCAACTTCTCCACCAAGAAGCTTGAAGATTTGCTTGGGTATGCTAAGGTTCCTCCTGCTGTGAACCAGGTTGAATGCCACCCAGTCTGGCAGCAGCCGGCCCTTCACAATCTGTGCAATTCTGCTGGTGTTCATCTGACTGTAATGGCCTCTATCTTACATCTTTATTCCACATACAAAATTATGTGCTCTAAATTTTTGTTATAAAGCTGAAATTCAAATTAAAACTTTCACTGTTGATTTCTAAAACAATTTATCTATTTTTGATCAACTTCAAAGTTTTGCCTAGTGCAATTCAAGCTAAGATTATTACCAAACTGTTATACCTAGAATCGAAGACTATTGTAAATCTGATTAATTCCACCCATACATTTTTTTAATGGGTGTGAAGTGTGACAAAACTCTTATTTCAAGGTAAAATGTAATGCAAGTATGCAATAGGAATTTCTATAAGATGTCAAGAGATTAGCATATTACTTCGTATAAATTTGTTAGTCATGTGGTTAATTGGAAGAGCGTGCTATGAACTTGTTTTTGGTTTATATTCTTCAATTAAGTTGTTTACCCCTAACTTTATATTATACTTCCTCCGTTTTCTTTTACTTGCAACACTTCCCTAAAAAGGAAATGTCACAATACTTGCAAGTTGCAACACACTATAAAAGAAAAGTTACTTCAGGGAAAAAGTATATTATTTCCCTTATTTAAAGCACATGGCCCACCAAATTACACTCCTAACAACCACTCATCCTATTTTAAAGTTTATTATATCATGTAAATCCCACCTTTCTTAATTACCGTGCTAAAGGGTGTGTTGCATCTAAAGTAAAACGGAGGAAGTATATTCTTTTGCTTCGATCTTGCTTTACCACTTATATGTCTGGCCGATTTGATGTAGAGAATCTAATACATGAGTTTCTGGCAGGCCTATAGTCCATTGGGATCTCCAGGGAACTGGATCAATGGGAATGTCTTGAAAGAACCAGTAGTGATTGAAATTGCTGAGAAGCTTAACAAAACACCTGCACAAGTAGCCCTTCGCTGGGGAATTCAGAGTGGTCATAGTATCCTTCCTAAGAGTGTAAAGGACTCACGGATCAAAGAGAACTTCAGTGTTTTTGATTGGTCGATTCCATCAGAGCTCTTCTCCAAGTTTAGTACCATCCCCCAGGTCAGTAAACCTCTGAAAAATGTTCACTCTAGATTTCTGGAAGAGCATAGATAAAGAAGGCACACACAAAGCTATATATTTCACATGTTTTCCTTCTTGTATAGTCCTTCCATCATGATTTATGTGCTTGCTTCTTCTGTTAATTACAGCGAAGGCTGCTGCGTGGAGATTTTGCAATTCAAGAAAATGGCCCTTACAAAAGCGTGGAGGAGTTATGGGATGGCGAAATTTAATGGCAGTAAAATGTCTTCATTTTCAATAATAAACCCTTTTTTTCTTATTAGTAGAGTGAACATGTGCATTAGCACGGATATATTCATATATCCAATTTTCTAAGAGAGATGATTTGACTTAAAATGTGGAAGTTTAAGAATTGATGTGTTTATCTACATAAGTCTGGAACAATTAATATAGTAATTGTTTCGGACTTTTGATTATTGAATTTTGAATTTTTGATACATAATTGCATGTGTTCATTGCCAAACTTTTTCTTGGCACATAAAGAAAATAGGTCAGTCAGTGTGTATGGATAAAGTCTTAAATAAACCTATGCTTTAATGGGAAGTTTTATTAGCAGCCAGCAAGCAAGTATTGTCTTTCAATTGATTGAGGAGCATCTTTTGCGTGGTTGTGCGAGGATCACATTTCATTTGATTCCAAAACTTTGCTTTTAATGGAAAGAGAAAATCCAATTGTTTTAAAAAAGAGAAAATTCATGCCTTGATGAAATTTTTACAACATTTCAATAATTGAAGCTGCCCTAGTCAAGATCAATTAAGAAAGGAGAATTCCTTTTATTAATTTTAATTTGACGGCAACCATTGACATCAACTTAACACTAAATAAAATTACAAATTTGTCAACTTATCGAACCCAACAATTCTCGATTTAATGATTATCTAACTTGATGTCCTAGCAGTCTAGCACACATTTTCTGTTTGATATAGCTCATTAATTCACCAAATTACAACACTGTAAACAACATTTTTTTTAAAAAAAAAATAATCTCAACTTGTAATTTTAAATATTCTCACCTCAATGACGAGTAAAATCATCCATTTCCATCGATATTCATTTCAAGACATTTCTTAAATAATATTCCTTAAATTTTGACTTGCTTCTTATTGCGTGTAAGGTGTTATAGAAGTTTGACTCATTTAAAAAAAAAAAAAAAAAAACCCACACACATTACCACCTTATCCTCGTATACTATAAAATTTATCTTTTATTTCCACCCACGAAGTATTTATGTATCGACCTCCCTCAGATGGTTCGAAAATAGAAAAACAAATATGTTAGTAAAAGTATTAGACTTTTAGCCAAATTCATTCATAAAAAGTGACATAAACATTATAGTTGTGTTACCCTTAAACGTAACACAGCCTGGCCCTTGTTAATCATCCTTGATCCCATGTGCTCGATCATCTCAAATTTCTTAAATGGGCCCATCTAATAAAACCTACCGTAACTTACAACTCTTTTCTTCAATAAACCAGCTGAAGAATATAATAAAACAGAGAGAAATATAAAGCAAAAGCTAAGTAAATTAATTAAATATGATTCCAAATTGTACTTATTAAGAGATTATGTAATATAATGATCAGAAGTTCGTAACAGAAAATTATAATGGAAGAGCAGTACATAAACTTCATTCAAGCATTGGCAACAGCTTGGTTGTTTATGATGATGTTAGGTCTTGTGTGTTGTTGTCTTAGCACACAACCTGCTCAAGATGGTGATGTTCATCATGCTAGCTGCAGTTGCGACTCCGGCTATGGCGCCGTTTAGTTCTTCTTCTCCTTCTCCCTCGAGATATATGTTTGTTGTATTCGGTCTTTAGAGGTAGGTATACCTTACGATACCTCTGTCTGTATTTAGTTGTCACATTTTGAAGAAATAGCTTAGTCTAGCTAGATGCAATGTACAGTTTTCTGAGCTTCATTATGCTCCATTTTGAGTATTTTTTTGGATGTTAGTATTTTATTTATTTTTTATTTTTTCTTGATTAGGAGAGTTGGAGTATTTAACTAATTTTGCATAGGTGCTTTGCTTTCCAACCAAAAGAATCCCATTAAAAAGAAAAAATAACAGCAAAAGAAGCCATGAAAGAGCTTTTCCATAACAAAGTTGTCTTAAAGGGTTACAAACTTACTTTTGGTGTAAATAAAAATGCAATAATGTATGGAGTAATTATTTTTCATTCCATCTTGAATGGTTTGTTACATCTTAGATTTGGTTAATTGACTAAATCCATCTTGAATTGTTTGTTACATTTGGTTAATTAACTAAATTTTCAATTCATGTTTCCTTTAAAAAAAAAAAATGATTAGCAATTCTTGTTTTCTTAATGGGAATAATAATTGTATATTTTGATTTGTACTCTGCAATAAAAGAATACATATACTCCGATAAGTTTTGTTTATAACTCCTTATTACAAATTTGTATACATTTTATTTCGGAGTAAATAAAAATAAAATGTATTGATGGTAAAAGTATAGGCCAACATATATTGTTACATACAATTGTGCAAATATATTTGTCTACGATCCTAGTAACTTTATTTGGTGTTAAATTACTTAAATGTAAATACTAAGAAGTATGTACATATTTCTTACTATATTATATTGCTTGTACATAATTTGCTCTAAACATGATAATCGCTACCGAATAATTCAATAGAAAAAAAAAGGTATAACCATCCTCTTCTTATTGTTCTTAACACGTAATATATTTGATTTGTAAAATAATCTCATGAAAATCTTATAGAGTGATCCTGCCAGCAATATTGTTGAGAAATTATTAGGGTGGTAGCCGGCAGTCCAGCAGGATGTGGTAATTTTCTTAAGACTTGAACGGTTGAATCCAATACCAACAAGTATTAAGTCACAAGTCTCTCTCTCTCTCTCTCTCTCTCTCTCTCTCTCTCACACACACACACACACACACAAAAAAAAAAAAAAAAAAATTCACAATTCTTACCATTTTTAGCTATTCATTTATTTTACTTTTTTATTCAACAAAATTATACTCCTTCCGTTTTTAAATACTTGCTCCATTTCTCTTGGACACACATGTCAACATTAATCTTTGATCATAAATATCTTTAATTACCAATAAGTATAAATTCTAACAATTGAAAATTAATAATCTATTCATTGATATGATTCCAACAAGTACCCACAAGACTATTTTTTCTTAAAAATCACAAACATTAGTCAAAGTAGGACAAATGAATAGTGCAAAAAATAGAAATGGAGCAAGTATTTAATAACGGAGGGAGTACTTTATAATTAAAAGCGTTTCTAAAATAGAATATGTGTCATGTGTCACCTTTTTAAGTCCTATGAACATGACATGTCAGCAATATATATGTGTCACTACTTGGTCACTATAAACATGACATATCACCTTCGGTCCTTCACAACATGTACTAGTTTGACATTTAAAAATTCTTATAGCAAGACTTGAACTCAAGACCAACAAGTCTTATTATTTTACCCATTTATTTATTGTGGTTTTTAGTCCATCAAAATTATAGCTAACTTAGATAAATAACTATTTTATTATACTATTTGTTTTCATTATGTAATAATCATTGAACGATTTAATTAACAACTTAAATTTTAAAGCTTGAAATGACAAATCTACTTAAGGCAATTGAATGACATGTAACTTTTAATACAAATATGTTGTGTCGTGCTAACCCATTTAATTAAATGGGTCAGAAAACACTTGACACTATCCCGCTTTTTTGTGTGTTCGATTCATGTCGTATTATTGTTTTATTTGAAAAGGTGGACCTTGTTTAATACATTTATTGGTTTTTTTTTTTCTAGTCAAGTCAAGTCGTGTTAATATTATGTTGAGAATCTCAACACTAAGGGTCTGTTCTCATTGACTGAACTCAGCTGAACTAAATTGAACTGCACTGAACTGAATTGAACTGAACTGAACTTATAAATTAGTGATTTTTAACTACAGATTAGTGATCTTTGATTATTTATTATTATACATATGTGTATGTACAAATATACATATTAAAATATTTAAGAAAAATATACTATTATTATTATTATTTTATTATTATTATTATTATTATTATTTATTGATTGATTGATTATTATTTATTTATTTATTTATTTATTTATTTATTATTATTATTATTATTATTATTATTATTATTATTATTATTATTATTATTATTATTATTATTATTATTATCGTCGTTGTAATAAGAGCTTAAAAGAATGAAATTTGGCTTTATATCATTAGCAATATCATTACACATGAACTGAACTGAATTGAATTGAGATGAGCTGAACTGAGCTAGCTGAACTAAACTGAACTGAACTGAGCTGAGCTGAACTAAACTGAACTGAACTGAATTTCAAAGTATGAGAACAAGCCCTAACTCGACTTATTTAAATAAACTTATGTTACATATCTTGTCATGTCGACTCATTTAATTAACGATTATTTCACCAAATGCCAATAAGCACTTTAAAAATTCACCAAATGCCATCGGACTTTTCAGAATTCATCAAATGACACCTAGTACTTAAAAAGTTCACCGAGTGTCATTAATGACTAACGACAATTAACTCCTTTAGTCATTAAGGCTAATTATGCCACATGGTGGCTTATGATTGGTTGCCTATTAAATTAGTAAACTAATTACTTAATAAAAAACTTTTAAAAAAAACCTCCCACCATGACCCACCCCAACCACCGTCTGTCATTGCCATCACCATATCCCCGCCTCAAGCCAGTCCTCACCGCGGCGGCGACCCATCCCTGAACAACCGCGCCGGCAACAGCCAGCCCGCGTCGACAACGCAACCCAGCCACCCTTCCCGCGATTCGAAATCCCTAAATTAAAATCCACCACGCCGGAACCCTAAATTAAAATCCCCAAAAATCGAAATCTAGGATTTCGACACCTTAAACCTTAATATCGATTTTTCTAAATTTGTAACCCTCTCCATTCCCCACTGCTGGTGTTCAATAATCCCTCCCCGCTCCGACGAACCTAAACCGCCTCTCCCCCTCCCATCTCCACTCTCTGAACCACCTCGCTTAAACCCCAAAATCGAAAACCTTAAAATCGAAATTTGAGTTTCGATTTTGGAGATTTCAATTTTAGGGTTTTAGGGTGTCGAGGATGGTGGTTTAGGGGGGGGTGGGGTGGATGGGAGAATTAGCTTCGCCGGCGCAGGGGATGGGGGCAGGGCGCCGGTGGGAGGGGAGAGAGGTGTTTTTGAAGTGGAGGGAGGGGTTTTAGGGTGGGGGAAGGTGGTTTTGGCAAGGAGAGGATGGCGATGGTATAGGGTCAAGGGGAAGGGTGGCCGCCGACACCAAAGAGGATGTTGGTCGCCGGTGGGGGTGGGGGCAGGGGGTTGGGCTGGCGTAGGGACGGTGGTGCGGTGGAAAGAGTGGCTGGGGTTTAGTTTTTTTTATTATTTTTTTCAATTTTAATTTTTTTGATAAATAAAATAATAATAAAACGAACCAATTAGAATATGCCACGTGGTATTTGGTGAATTCTAAAAAGTCCAATGACCTTTAGTGAATTTTTAAAGCACTCAATGACATTTGGTAAAATAGTCATTTAATTAATCTTAGTAAAAACTCTAGACACTACCATTTATGTGTAGAGCCATAGAGGTGTGATTTTAATGTGTTTTTTGTTTGTCTCAAAAAAAAAAAAAAGTGTTTTTTGTTTTTTCTCACAAAATATTTAAAAATAATTAAAAAAAGATAAATAAAATTTAGGAATGGAGAAGAGGAACAACTCCGGAAAAGTCTACAGTGTACAGTACGTACTTCTGTTATGCAGCGCGCAGTCACCATCAATCAGACACACTTTTCCCCTCTTCCTTCTCTCTCTCCACCACTCTCTACTATCTCTCCACAACAAATTCCGCCATTGTCAACCACTCTTCTTCCCAAATCTTCACTCTAGGGTTTTAATTCCTCTTTCTGCTAATAATTCTTATCTTTTCTAACCTAATTTCAAGCCATGGTTGATAAATTACAGACGAAGCAGCTAAAAGGCGCAATTACTGAAGAAGATGTTTGCAATCTCTTGCAGAGGTATACTTTTTGTTCTTCTTTTTGTAAATTTTGTGTTAGAACAGTCTAAATTTGTTGATTTTGGTGTTAATTTGTGTGATATTGGTGTTAATTTGTGTGATAGTGATGTAATTTTGTTGATTATGGTGTGAATTTGTGGGATTTTAATCTGAATTTGTTGATTATTGTGTTAATTAGGTACTCAGCGGGTACATTATTGGCGCTATTAAAGGAAATGGCGCAAGTTGTTGATGTAAAGATTGATTGGCAGGCGTTAATGGCGAAAACGGAGACCGGGATAAAGAGTGCCAGAGAGTATCAAATGTTGTGGCGTCATTTGGCGTATCGACAGCCATTGATTGAGAATGTTTCCCCGGAAGAACCGCCTTTGGTTTGTTCCGATTATTATTGATTTATTTATCTCGAATTCTTTGTGGTTTTGGCCTTTATGTGTGCGTTTTGAGCTTAAATTGGGAATGTGTTGTGTTTTTAATTTTTGTCGACGGACATGAAGTGGTGTTATGAAAATAAGAGTTTGATTAAATTTGTGGAATTATGGTCCTAAATTGTGTGAGTTTTGATCTTGTAGACATGATTTTTTCCTTGTTTAGAGTAGTAATTAGGTGTATGGGAAAGATAATGATGTTAAGCGATCATAAATTGTTGAAATAGTAATGGGATATGTAAATAATATTGGAAGGAAATATTGTGGTCATTCAATGAATTGGTATAAAGACTTTTTTGTACCAGAGATCGTTTTGTATCATACAAGTACATCTTCTGTGTAGAAATACTTGTGTAACAAAGAAAATAAGTCCTTGTGTCTGCCACGAGATCTCCAGCAATTTTGTTGTAATGAAAAGAAGAAATCTATGACTGGAAAAAAGTGATGCATGACATGTCCTGCGTTTAAAGTATAGGAAATGTACGGACATCTACTAATTCCTTTTAGATGAAAATTTCGTAGCTTAATGTGGATGCAACTTGCATGCAGGACGATGATAGTGACCTTGAATATGAAGTGGAGGCTTGCCCCCCTGTCAGCACTGCAGATGCTACGGAGGCTTCTAACTGTGTTAAGGTTCGACATGCATAATTTTATACAGTATCACTGATTGGAGATTATGTTATAATTAGTCTATTTACAGAAATACACATTGGTTTGGGTGCCTCTCCCAAAGGACACGGCCTGAATGCCTAAGATATCTGAGTGTCAAGCTGATAAAAGGAGATATCTCTCTTTTCAGTCTGTTATTTTTTATGGCTGTGTTTTGAGATGAGAGTTTGCACTGGTTTTGGTGAAAGTTATCTGATAACAAATAATAGTTTTATGTTTTTATGTTGCTCTTTGTTAGAAAATATACAGTACATCTTAGTCACTCTCTCTAGGTGGACTCAGTTTGAGAATGTGTTGCCACTTATCAAAATTTCCCTTCCAAGTGTTAAGTGGTGACTATCACCTTGTCTAGTTATGTAAAAAAGTTTATTTTAATCAGCATACCCACTTGTAGTCTATGTGTTCTTTATTTCTTTAAGGCTTTAACTTGCTCATGTATAAATACTATTTTATTCGTTCCATTATCAGGTGTTGATGTAATAATTGAGCTTGGCATTATTAGTAATGCTACTTCCATACATAGATGCACAGGGTATTTTCGTATAGCCTCTTTTTTATGCTGATTACCTTTTGATTTAGGCTCTCACTTCTGGCTCAGCCAACAAGTCTCGTATGTCCAACAGCTCAAATATTGAGGTGGCTAGGGTTTCAATAGAAAATCCACAAGTTCGGAAAATTTCACAACCTGCTGGGACCTTTGGTGAAGGATCGAATGCAAATGGATTGACATGTAATAATCAAAAGAAAAGAAAACTATGCCCAGAGGAGGAAGACATAGAACTAATTGCTTCTGTTAAGAAAGGAGAACTCAAGGGAGAGAGTAATACTGCACAGCGGACCCAGGTTTCTACTCACTTCACCCTGCCTGCTGGTCTATATATTTTTAATTATGTTAGCAATGTTTCATTTTTTTTCTTCTTGTATTGATAATAGTAAATTAATAATGCAATTTACAAATTTTTTTCTTAGAAAAAAATGATTAGCTCTAAGTTGCAAAATCATTCCTTTTTATTTAAAAAGAATGACAGTCATTTTAATGCAGTTTACACATAAGTTTCCTTTGCTATATGGAACCTATATGTTGTTCAGTGTGAGGTTTCTGATCTCTAGTGGGAGTGTGGGACTGATGGCATGTAACACAGTAGTTTTGAGCATAAACATCTTTTGGATAAAGAATAACATTTTCTTCCTTATCTTTACTATGGCTTGGACTTTTTATGCTATTTTACTGACAATAGGTCTGGAATTACTTAATCAAAGATTGAATGACATATCTAATTTAGTACATAGGGGTGGTAGGAGGGAAGAAGAGGTTATTGTATTGCCACCAAGGAGCCAGTAGGTGATGTAACGGAAAGTAGAATAGTGTTTTCCATTGGAGCTTAGCAAATGTTATGTTTCTTGTTGGCTGTTGATAACCTTGCTAAATACTGGCATGGATTCCGTTGCTTAACTTGTACTGAGATGCCTCAAACAACTTCTTTTGTGATCCGTTGTCATCTAGTCCGGTTATGATGTCTGGGTATATTCCAGGTTTCCCGGGTTCAAATCCCGGCAACGGAGGTTCACACTGTCACTGAAATCTGATTTTGATCTCAAAGTTTGCTTTGTGTGTTTAGATTAGGGTGAATTCAATGCTGACTAGCTTTTAAGTTGTGTTCTTACCCACTCCTTGCCTAAAAAATAAAGCAGATATCTGGTTCAAGAATTATATTGCTGATTTTTTTTTGCTTATACAGAGGGCAAATACTAATAGGAAGAAACAGGGGGGCTTGAATATTGAGGCTACTCGTTTTGCACTTGACATGGCTTTCAAAGATAGCCCAGCATCAGGTGCTGCCACTGGTATGTTCTCGTTCTTGCATTATATTTGCTGTAGTATATAGACCCGCTTGCTTGATGCTTGGGAATCATGTATTTTCCAGTGATTTCCTTGAACTATTGTAGTTATCTCTTTTTCATTTTCCCGTGTGTATAAGTCTTGACATTATGTACACATAAGATTTTCAGCAATCATTCTGACATCTTATCTTTAAATCACTACATACAAAGTTGGACATCATGTCATTTTCCCGTGTGTATAAGTCTTGACATTGTGTGCGGCATTGTTTAAGAAATTATTGTTGGCCCTGCAGGTAACTAACTCTTTACATCAAGTTTATAGGCATTGAATTCACAGTTTCCTTTTATGTTTTGACCCTGGGTAAGCATGCTCAATTCCTATGCTGATTGCCTGCTCCCCAAGGGATTGATTAATGATGTAAAGGGTTTAAGTGAAGCGGGTTCTATATTTTTTGGCTTGAAACATATGAGAAGATCAAATTATACACTCCACTTTTTTTCCCCCTTTCTATTTCCTTTTTTTGTTTATTCTATATCCAAGCTTAGGTGATTTCATTTTTTTGATCTTCTAGGTGGTAACAGGGATCATTTTTGAGTATGAGTGCTGCTTTTTTTTTTTTAGATGTTGATTGGGTTACATTAATGCTTAGAAAATATGACTTTGCAAGTAGTTTGGAAGGATAAGAAACCTGCCCCCTTTTCTTTGTTATGGTTAGTAGATTTTTCTGATTTTCATAGGGAAAAGATTTTTCCATGTTATAACACTCTATTCACTTGGATTCTTTTGAGATTCGTTTGCAAGTTCATGAGGAATAGGGATTGATTATTTAGGAATAGAGCCAACTTTGGGGCTGTCATCCCATATTTGTCCTATGAAATCTGATCCAAACTAACCTTAGCTTAGAAGGTAAATTAACCATGTGTGACACATTCGCTGGTTTTATTATTTTTTATTTTTATTTCTATTTATACAAACCCATCTCTCACCTCACTAGCCATCCTCTTCTTTAATCCCTCTTTCCCACCACACACCATCCCAGCTCAGGCCCCCAATGCTGCTTGCAGTCCCAATAACCTTTTCACCCATTCTCTTCCCCTCCCTCTCCCATCTTCTTTCTCTTGAACTTGGTTTTTAGGGGGTTAAAGGGAAAGAGAGAGACACTAGATGCAAATTTAATGGGTTTTGGTTCCATTGCTTATAATGAAGAATTAAAGAGAGAGAATTGAACAACGGTCACAACTCTTATGAGTTAAAACAGATGAAAGAGGGAATTACAACAAAAAAAAAAAATCTTCTCTTTTTTGTGAAACAGAGGTAATTCAAGGAGTGAGAAAAAATGGTGGTGGCGGTAGTAATTGGGGTTTCGCAACAATGTACTGACTCTGAGCATTGGAGTATCTTATTTCTGTGGTTTGATGACTGGAATAGCAGATGAAGATAGCAAGAAAAAAAGAGGATGATAATAAACAATTTTGTAAAGAGATGTAACAAATTGTAGATACTTGGATGCTTGTAGATGTTTGGAAAAATAGTAAAAGCAATTTATAAGGTACAAATTACTTTGTATTTAACAATGAGAGATAAATTTAATCTGCATTTTAGGTTGTTAATCACCAAAGACTGATCTTCCTTGTTTCTCTGTTTGGTCTTAATATTTGCTGGGGAGATGGGGCAGTGGCATTGGGATGCTTGAGTATTAGTTTGTGAACATTTTATTCAGAGGTTTTAAAAGATCGTAGACAAGGAAATTAGTTTGCTTTGTTATGGGTTTTCACCTGTCATATCTGGTGCACCAACTGCAAATTAATAGGCTATGTTGACCAGAAGATAGACCAGCTCCATCTATTCTCACATGGCATTCTTTATGCCTCAAAATACAATTATAGTAAAGTTTTAAAACTAGTCTTTCTGTGCAATCTTCTTTTTTTGTAGTCTTGTCTTTGTAACTTTACATAGTAGTCGTAAAAAAAAAAAAAAAAAAAAAAAAAAAAAAAAAAAAAAAAACTTTACATAGTAGATGTATGGCTCTGATGTTCATATCTTGCTGACGGCTTTTTTGTTTTGTAGTTGGTAACGGACATGATGATTGTAACAATGCAGCTAAAATAAGTGCTTCCAAAAGGAACTTGCCAGTCACGAAAGTTACTGTGCCACCGTCCCCACCGCAACCTTGTGCAGCATTTTCTGTAAAATCTACAGCAATGGGCTCTTCAACGAAGCTTTGTCCTAAAAGAAAGCCTCCACAACAATCCACTGTCAGTGCAGATTCTATTCAAGCTACTGCAAAAGCTGCAGGAGCTCGCATTGGTAGTCCTTTGGATGCTGCATCTCTATTCAAGGCTGCACAATCAAAAAACGTAGTGCGCATTAGAGGGGGAAGTCCTCCTCTAGTCAAGACTCCTATTGTTTGCACTGGGACAGCAACAACGTCAACTTCTGTGCCTGCTGGAACTGCATTCTATGCTCTAGGAGCTCAACAGCCCAAACTTAGTTCAGTAGGACCCTCTGTATTGCCAGTGTCTCAACCTCCAAAAGTGAGAGCCACGTCTGTTGTAACTACAGAGAGAATTAGTACTGCTCAACATATGGAAAACAAAACTTGTGCGGCAGCAAGCATTCAACAACCGGATGCTAAATCAGTGACTAGAGTCCAAGAAGATGGAGCTTCACTTCCCCAAATTTTGCCAAAAGATAAGTGTCCGGCAACATCTCCTGGTGCTGATGTTGGCTCTAGTAAACAAGCAACTGCTATTGGTGATTCTCAATGTACAATAAACAGGGATGTCGTGAAGGTTGAAGGCAAAAATGACACTTGTAAGCAGGTCGTTGAGTCCAGTGCCAAATAGTAATTGTTAGAAGGCTTATGTTTTCAGAGAAGTATTTCATGTGTGAATGGAACACATGAGGTTTCACTAACTTCAGTTGATAGTGGGCGTGCTGAATAGAATGGAGGTAAGGTTTGAAAGTGAGGATATGGCCGGAGCTGAATTATTCTAACCAAATGAACATGTAGATAACTAGATGTAGTGTTGTGTTTAACCCTAAGTGATGTAAATTCTCTTGAAATTTGTCTGCCTTACATTACATTGAAATCCTTTGATGTCTTTTTATGTTAATCGTAGTTGAAGTTCTTATCGGAAACTCTGCTGTTGGAACTTGGAAGTAGTAGGATGATGCATTGGTTTATTACTGCTCTCTGTTTATGTTCATTGTTGCAGCGATGGCCTTAACAGTTGGAGTGAATAATTTCCAGCAACCAAAGGCTTATATCTGTATAAAACTAATGTTAGTGACATAATTTTGATTGATTTTGTCTTGAATAACATTATACTCCCTATGTAAGGTTCAAACCCATAACCCTAAGATTAATAACTATAGACTTATCCACTAATCTATGTCCTATTAGGCTATTATATTATTTTAAACATTGATTAAACTCATAATAGTGACTAATGGAGTAACATGTATAGGTGAAATGGTATTAACAGTTATAGTTTTGGTTAATAATTACTCCGTGTGACTCTTACGCTTTGTTTGGATAGCAAAGAAGGAAGGAAAAGAATGGGAGGGAAAATGGAGGAAGGGAAGGGAAAAGAAAGGGAGGGGGAGGTGAGCTCCATTTTCCCTCCAAATCTCTCTAATTTTGGTTATTAAAGAGAGAGGGAAAATGGATCCCTCCCTCTCTTTCCCCTTCCTTCCCCCAATCTTTTACCCAAACAAGAGATTTTGTCCCCCTCTATTTCTCTCCTCTTCTTTTCCTTCTATTTCTTCCTATCCAAACAAAGTAAGGTTAAAATAATACAGTACTAATGCTATGTTTGGATAACAAATTGGAAGGGAGGGAAATAGGAGGAAGGGGAAGGAAGGGAAAGTGGAGGAAATGATGAGTTCCATTTTCCCTCAAAATCTCTCCAATTTTGAAGGGATAGTCTTTATTAAAAGAGGAGGGAAAATGGATCCCTCTCTCCCCCTCCCCTTCCCTCCCCCAACATATTATCCAAACAAGGAACTTTGTCTCCCTCCCTTTCCCTTCCCTTCCTTTCCTTTCCTTCCATTTTTTGTTATCCAAACATAAAAGTTACTCCCATCACCCCATAATAATTAACTTGTTTAACTTTTTTACTCTTTATATACTAACTTTGACCACAGTTTTTTTTAATAACGTATTAAAATCATATTTTATCATGAAATATATTGTCAAATACGGAGTAATAATAAGCACCTAATGTAGATATTTGACTTCCACTTCTAAAAAACAAGTTTTATCATAAAATATATCGTCAAACAATATCTACTTTTTATATATCGTCAAACAATATCTACTTTTTATATACTCGTGTATAGTTTTTTTTTTTTTTTTTTAAAAAAAAAATAGTAAGCACCTGATGTTAACCACAACAAAAGATTGGTAAAACGTTAGAAGTCACAGACAATAGCAGAAGAGGCCAAGCCAGTCCCAGTTCCACACTATTACACTAATGCCCCTCTGCTAAACTCCATAACATTACAAAATAAAATTTCTTTTTAAAGCCACTGCAAACCTCCCATACAAGCTCTGGTCTGCATCAAGAACAAAAAGAAATCCACTTTGCGATCACCACTGCAGCAGTATGGTGATTCGGGGACTGATTTGATAAATAAACTCTGCAGCTGCATCAACTAGCTGCTTTCATGTTAATTTGCAATATTGATGCTAGTTTACAAAGCATACCATACTTAAATTTACATAACCACGCGTGGGTTTGCCTCCCAATATATTGAATTTTGGTAATTGGCACATCACTTGTATCTTTGGCTACTGGATATATTATATCATTACCAAAAAGAAGAATATTTACAAGGCTGTCATTGTATCACAAACATCTCAAAAAGATATCCAAGAAGACCATAGCTTTAAGAAGAAAGTACTGAATACTGAGCTGCTAATAAAACCAAATATATATAAGCAATTAAGCACTGCAACGATGATGGTTTTGTGCAACCGGACTGGACCAGACCAGATAACCCATATAAAGTGCCTGCCTAGAGGCCCTAGACACCAGATACTCGGAAGCACTGAGATAAACTACAACCCCAGAAGAAGATCAAGCAACTGCTACACAAACAGAACAAACTACAGCAACTGAACACAACATCATCAGATCTGCAACATAATCCAGAACACATATATGCAGCTAGAATAGAACGGAATTATAAACTCCATCTTCTCCATTGGGAAAGTTGTGCAGTAGAAAGTTCTCTAAGCAGTCTGCAAGACTTTATGGCGGCTCAATGTCGGGAAAATTTGGACCAGAAGTAAACCAAGAAAAGACAAAATAATGCAAAAAGAACAACGTGCAGTACATGGTTAGAACCACTTTGCACAATGCTGCTGTTTAATCTCCTCATGTTGTTCTTCAAACTAGCTTGAACTTGGATAAGGGTCATTTGCTGAACCATACAAAAACACGTATCACAAGAAGCACGGTAATAAATATTGCTAAACAGCCAAAATATACAAAGAATCATAGCAAACAAGTAGTCACATAAAGCAATCACATAATGACTATAAATATAAATTGCAAAAGTTTACAGATCCAAATTATCATGAGTTTATTTCTATACACGGAAAGGTGCACCACTTCTATGATTGTTAAGAAAGTCAAATATCATGAGCAGTCATTGGTAAAAATATAATTAGCTCCAAAACAAGGTGTTAATAATGAGTAGTCATATACAAGTATCAACAATAGATCACATCAACATTAGCAAAATCCTGTTCTTGATGGACATTTCAGATAAAGACAAGAAGTTCCAAGAAAAAGGGAGGGAGAAAAGGTGGAGCATTATTAGGTTCATCCGGGATATATATATATATATATATATATATATATATATATATATATATATATATATATATATATATATATATATATATATATATATATATATATGAAAAAAAAACCTTATGGAAATATACACAAAGACAATAGTGAACAATTTAGCATGGCATCCTCAGAATGAATGAATAAAAACAGCTCAGACCAGAATATGATGTCAATATATATTCAATTGATAATCGTAATCTCAAACTAGTTATGCAGTTAAACCCTTCAAGGAAAAGAATTTCTTAAAACACTAATGCCAATGATTATGTCTGGCGAAGTAATTAGTAATGTGCCCAAAAGAGCTAACAAGTAGTAATATCATAGCAAAACACAAATTAATTCAAAACATTTGATCAAGGGTAAACTGCTTAAGATATGGAAGATTGTGCTGATGCATTACCAGCTGATCCATAAAATCACTCTGAAACTTCGCCTCTGAGTTAATCTCTTGCGCTACCTGCATCAACATCATGCATCAAAGACCAATACCACGAACCAAATGAAAAGATAACAGAAAGCGATTAACAGATCAAATTGACAGAAAATGACCCAAAACATGCAAAGTCCTGCCGAAATGTTTCTTGTAAAATCCATACATTGGTATCCAGCAAGGTTCAAACAAACTCACAGGAACGTATAAACTAAAGTTTATTAATTCCATCTTTCTTTTACAATCAATCATATGCGGCAAAATCAATACACATTATATGTCAAGTTCCTTTCAACATATTCGGGTTTTGCTAAATTTCCCAAAATGTTACGCGAATTAATCATGACAAAATCACGTGTCCATCAGTATCATTTAGCTTCTTATACTAATCCCAAATAGTAGCCCTATAAATTTCTCAACTTCCATATTAACATAACATTTAACACTGAGAAATTCAACATTGACAAAATCAAATTCAAGAACTAAAATTATCAAATAAGAAACCTTGATAATAGAAAGAATGAAAAAGATGAATTACATGTCTGAGCTTGTGAACTTGAGATCTAAGCCCTGTAATTTCATCATCAAGGTCAGCATGCATTGGATCAACAATTCGCACTTGCACTTCATCTGAATTACCCACTTGCCGAGTACTCAACCCATCACTGCACCCCCAAAAAAAAAAATTGAAAAAAAAAAACCCAAATAAGAAATTCAATCAATAGAAAATAATTCAATTGAAAACCAAGAAAATGTTGAAATTGAATGAATGATCATAATTACCTTGATCTAAAGGGGACAGCACCACCTCTTGTTGCCATGGAATATGCAATCAAAGTGATAAAAAGATTGAAAATTTAGGGTTTTTGATCAAATCTTTGAATTTAATAAAGGGTAATTGGGATAATTTGGTAGTAATTTCATATGATTAAAGATGAAATTGAGGAAATGAAGAATTGGGAAGTGGGTGAATTTGCAGGTGTTCCCAAAGGAGGAGGAGATGAAGAGGTGTTAAAGAGACCGGGAAGTTAAAAGGACGGGGATATTCAAAACCATAGGTTATGTGATTTGACTCGATTATCGAAATGATTTCCTTAGATAATGCTTTAAAACTTCCAAATTCTTCAATTGTGCTAGATTCTTCAACATATTCCATGTATTATCCACATAAGCATGTTAAGCAAAAAATAATAATTTTATTGGGATCGATTGAACACAAATTAGCTAATTGATGAAATAGCTAGCGGTTTAGCATAATGAATTGTCAATTGAATCAATAAAATTATCATGAAATAATAGTTTATTGTAGAGCCATTAGAATTTTAGTCGATTTCATTTGCTGATGTGGACAATATGTGAGGATTTTCTTTGAACCAAAACATACTTGAAATTTTTTGATATGTTTAAGCATTATCTAGGGAAATGTCCTAAAAAATTGAATCAGGTTATAGTAGATAATTAAGGATGTAGATTTAAAAATAATAATAATAAAAAAGAATTAACTTCTCGACAATGGCTAGAGAGAGGGCACTACTTGAAGCTTCCGTGTTTAAATTTAAGAAGACAAATCTAAAATTAAGGTGAGACCTCAAAACCAAAGTATTTAACGTCATCATTATTGAGAATTGAAATTGATAGATGGACTACCTCCAAGGCTCCAATAAATATGAGAAAGGGTTATATACCAGTATAGGAACTCTTAGTTTGAATCAAATTACAAATCACAGTTATACAATCTCGATTGAGAGAATTGATACAGATCAGATAATTTATCGCATTTGAAAACTTATAAGCCATAATATAGAAAGAATCATGCAAATAACTAACCTAGGTTAAAATACAATAATCCACCTCAAAAAAAAATTATAAGTCAAGCCCTAGTCTTTGCCATGACAGTGATGATGAAATCTATCTCTTCTTGCAAGTCACTTGTAAAAAAAAAGTAGAAAAGAGAAAATATGTCAACATCAGGTTAAACAACTATTGAATGCAATGATTACCCTTAAAGATTATATAATGGATCTATGTACTTTAAAGCCATTAACAAATTGTTTTAAGGTTTCAAAGCTAGACAAAAGCCAGAGAATAAGAAAGAGTGAACATATTAGCAATATACTTCCTTCGTTTTTATTTACATGCAATAAGTCATTTTGACACACACTTTAATAAAGATGCTAGATTAGGGAAACAAGTTAAGTAGTTAAGGTTAAAGATGAAGGATAATTTTGTAGCACGTCATTTATCTTTCAATTCTTAGCAACCATTCTTTATTGGACAAGTGTCACAATAACATGCATTGTCCATAATTCTCAAGTAGGCATGGCCATGACCTGATAATGGGCCATTTCTCCCAAAAAATACTTCATATTATTATTTTAAGTTTTTTTTTTCTCTCTCTCTTCATTACCACCTAAAATGGGCAACCAATGGCCATACTCGAAATACATACGGAGTGATATCATCCATACAATGATTAACCCATACTTGTTCAACACAGAAAGACACTAGTCTAGTTAAATGATGTGCTACAAAATTATCCTCCATCGGTTCAATTAGCTTCATGTCCAATCGACTCGACTCGACTCCTCGTACTAGAAGAACTAGGCTCGAGTATTCCTAGTGTCGTTAGTTTAGGTTTTTTATGCAATAAAGAAAGAAGAGTAGAGTATCCTTTGATTTAACGTTCACTTTCCCTCATTTATATTGCGAACGAATTTTCTCTCTTCCTTCTTCCCTCGCTTGTAGCCGCCGTGCGAACACTCACACAGTCTCCACCATTTTTCTCTGGTAATCTCTCTCCTCTTTCTCTCTCTTCTTTCTCTCTCTTTCCTCTTTCTTCTCTACTACTCCGCCATTGTTAATCATGCTACAATTCAATCTTCTCTCTCAATCTATCTCCCCTGTTTAATTTTGAATTTCATTCTTGTCAATTTTCATCTTAATTGTTTTGATTTTGTGATTGTTTGTTGTTTGATTGTTTTTACTTGCATTTGTTGTTTTTGTATCATTGAATTGGAATTGAAATTGAAATTGTGATTGAATTTTGTATTTAGGTTTGTGATCTTGTTGAATTGGAACACCAAAACATGCAAATTTGATTCAAGAATTTCGGATTTTTTGGGTGTTTTGTTTGTAATTGTTGTGATTTTGGGGTAGAAAAGTGATGCAATTGTTGTAAGAATTATAATCATAATGAGTGTCCTAGCTCGGGAGAAATCGAGGGGTTTTGTGAGGATGCCGAGTAAGAGTTTGAGGTGTATGAGCTATGAGGATACTCTGCGTGAAATGGAGGCTTTTTTGGATGGGAAACTTGAGAATCCGCAAACTAGTCGTGGCGAAGTTTATGCCGATATAACTGAACCTATGAACTCGAATGCTGCCGTTAGGCTGCCTGATAGTGAGGATCCTGATGCTACTGAGAATTCTAGCTCTTTTGGTGATACTACTTCGAGAAGTGACAATGTTTCGGGAACTAGTGATGCTGAAGTGGAGTCGGAATTTCGTGTAGATACTGGTTTTGCTGATACATTGGACAGTTATACTAATGTTTTTCCCATGAGGTTGGTTTTTCTTGGATTTGTTGAACATCAATTTTACTTTTCTAGTAATGTTGTCTTATACTTCACTTGTTCTGTTCTTATTGCAACTTCTGGACTATTATGCTAATCCATCACTTTCCTTTGGCCATCTTCAATTCACCATCTATTGTATTTTGTATGTAATGAAAAACTTCATCATAGGAGATCTTGTTAGATTTGTCTCAATATAAACTTTCTAAATTTTAAGTGTCTATATTTGTAACTAAAAGATAGTTAAGGATATTAATAGTATAAGTTGTGCATTGGCACATGTGAAACTCCAAATGTTGCAATTTGAATGGAATGAAGGAACTACTAAGGTTATCTTGCAAGAAGTATTAAGATGATTGACTTTATTTTCATTTTATTCAAACTCGGGGTACTTTGGGGCCTAGTGTCCAAGTGTCCTCTTTTAGCTGTTTTGTGAAAATATTTTATAATCTTGGTCCAAATTGAAGTTTCCAAGTATCCTATCCAAGTCTGGGAGTCATAAATCCAACAAGGGTACTTAAGGTGAAATGAAAAGTCCAAGTAATATTGATTTCTTTTGCTACAACACTTCAGGAAAAGAAGATTGACACCTCATTGGAGGAATTTTGTACGCCCAATTATGTGGAGATGCAAATGGGCCGAACTAAGGATAAAGGAGTTGGAGTCTCAAGCCTTAAAATACTCCCGTGAGCTAGAAGCAAATGAACAAACAAAAATGTTGGAACTACATCAATATACATCAGACTTTTGTTCGAGATCGTTTCCATTTTTCAACCATTCAGACAAGAAGAAACCCATGAAAAGAAGAAAACGGAAACTTGTGGAGAAGGTGACTGATATCTCATCTTATATGTCTCATCACCAGCTTTTCTCATACTTAGGTATACATTTTCTCTTGTGGTTATAGTTGTATTATGTATACAATTTTAAAGATATAATTCCACACGATCACTCAGCGAGCACCCTTTATTTATCATGATGGTATTTGGTCTAATGCAGAAAATAAGAAGTCTGATCAAGATGGTATATCAGCTGCTGACGACGATGTTAATCTAGGTAAGAATTTCTATTTCAGTTAAGATGTGAGTGCCATACTGCCATCAAGATTTGACATTATGCTGTTTCTCCCATTCTAACTTATAATGAGCTTGCATAACTTTAATTTTGTCTGGTTAAAATTCAAAGAATATAAAATTCAAGGCGCTATATGAGTAAAGAAGTCTATTAAGGGGATATGCTCATTACGAGGAAGATTACTTTTATCTGGATATTCTCAAGTTTTTTCATATTGTTGAATCTATCTGGAAGATTATCGTTTTTTATTGACTAATCAGCAATATCATTCTTATTGTTAAAATATTTGAAATCAATCTATGTTAAGACAATTAAGATGTAAGAACTATGCTGTAGTTTTACCACCCTTTTGTGCTTCTCGTTCCTTCTTTAGGGAGAAAGGTTTTATAAGTAATCAAGTACAGTAGGTATTTTCTGTTAATGATCTTCCTTACCAAAATAAGTTTTATGTTAAATTGTTACGCTATAGTGCTATACAAACAAATGTTGCAGCATCAAGAGCCATGATTATATATGATTATGGCTAGCGTGTTATTGTCAAATAAGCATCAACAACAGGACAAGTTTCATTTTGTTGGTTAGGTGTTTTACTTCTAAGTAATTTTTATTTAATAGTAGGTGTACAGAAATCCTTGCTAGAATGCTTTGATCAAGTTTGTGCTTGCGAGTGTATATTTGGGGTAAAGGACTTAGGAAGTATACATGATCGTCCACAGAGTGAAGAAGCTGTTTTGTTTGTTCAGGTTGGTTACTAGGTTTTTTTTTTTTTTCTTGGTTTATTTCAGACTTTCAGACACCCCCACAATGTCTGAAACCCAAGCATGAGATTGTTCATTTTTTCATATATTTTTAATATGGCTTGTTTACTCATCAATTTTTGTTTTCCTGGGTAAATTAACAACACATCATGCTGCTCAATGCCTCCATCCGTCGGGATGGGGGCTCTTCGTTCTACATATTACAAATAGCTTAGATCTTATATTCATATCAAAGATTCAAGATCTTAATGCTAGTATAAATTTTTATAGGCAAAAAGGGATGTAGTAATAATATCTAATATGTGCTTAGGTTTTGATTGTTAGCAGAGTAAAAACTTAAAAACTGTGTGTGGCCAATTTAGCGGAACGAAAAGGAGTTTTATAAAAAAGAGTTTGAAGTCGGGACAGCATGGATACGAGACTTTTGAAGTGAACTCTCCAAGTCAGTTTTAATCTAGATTTTTTTTCATGGCTTAAGCAAATTGGAGCATAAGTGAACACGAGGACCATAAAACTTAGTGTAGCAAGTCAGCTTCAAAGTTAGGATTGAACTAAAGCCTTAAATTCTCTTTTGCTCCACTGCTTTAGAAAAATCCTTATTTAAGTTATGACTAATCTCATAATAGCCTTATTTAAGTTATGACTAATCTCATAATTTTTATTTTAAAATAAAAGATACGGCAACTTGTATTGCAATAGCATTGAAAAGTATTTACTTTTAAGAGAGAATAAAAACAAGGGAATTTTATGTGAAAACTTAATTACTCAAGAGTTGAATTAATGTTTTTCCTTTTATTTTT